TATATATATATATATATATATATATATATATAGTTTTTGTATTGTTTTGGTTTTGTCTTTGTTTTTGTTATTTTGTTTTTGTTCTTTTCTCTTAAAAAAGAAAAAATAAATAAATAATAAACCACATTAAATCATTCCATAATATAACTATTTTCAATGTTTATAATCTAAAATAATATACTTATATTTAGGTTGAATTGCAAACCCATGCTTGAATGCCATTTAAGTGGCAACAATGATCTAAGCTTGGAGACTATGGTTAGTTTTTACAAAGTGTAATATAAAACTTTTAGAGGGTAATCATAAGCAACAGCATACTCATAAAGCTATTTTTATCACTACACATAAAGAAAAGGATGACATATCATAAAATGCAAGAGTAAATCTTTTCCCTAATATGTAACTATATGTATTTTTAATTTAATGAACTTCACAACCTTCAACTTTATTGTTAGGGTAAACCAAGGCCCAGTTGAGACCACCAAGACAGGAAGTTTAAGCAACATATGAGGACTTTCTTGCAGACTGGGTGCAGCCAGCCCAAGGACAAAAAGACTGTTGGCCTCAAGCAAGGGGAAAGAGCATGTTTTATAGGGGTGTTTAGGGAGTGGGAGAGGTATTGCCAAGGAAATACAAAATTTTGGGTCTTGAGTAGGGGGTCTAGGGCTAGGTGATAGACAGGGTAGAGTTGGGTACAGGGAGTGCTGGCAGGCACGATATGTCTCTTGTGATTTTTTGTGGAATCAGCTCTCTGCAGGTTGAGCTGTGGGGCAGCTGCTAGCTGCTTGAGCTGGGCAGGAAAGCTGCAGGCTAGCTGCTAGCTGCTTGAGCTGGGCAGGAAAGCTGCAGGCCTTCTGTTGAATGTTGCACTCTTACAGGTGTGAATAACAGATCTGCTTGGGGAGTTTCTCTCTCCTAGCTGGGCAGTGATCCAGTTCTAAGACCTAACATTTATCAAAGGCAGATTGTATAATTTTTGTTATGCTATTTAGCATCTAGTGCCTTATCTCATAATTAAGTTTTTACTATTTTTATAGGAACATAGTCTATTTTAACCAAAGTGGATTGGCTGAACCAAGTTTAAGTGTTCCTCTCTCAAAGATATTAATACACGTAAACACACAACTACCAAACAGCAATATAGGGCCATAAAGATTGTAGTTAGTATACTTTTAAAACATAGAGCTCATAACTTTCTGCCTCCACTATCAGATATGTTCTGTAAATGGCTTTTATTCTAAGCAGACAGCAACCTTGTAGGATACTGAAGCGAAATGTGTCCCAGAGGAAAGAAAATAACAAGAACTTATGCAAAATGTAGATGAGCATTTTTTTTAAATTACTCAAAGCAACAGTGGAAAATTTCAGACAAGTAATTCTTTATAGTCTCAAATTTACAGACCATGTGATAACTGTAATCAGACAAGAAATTTTTTAAAAGTTCAGAGGTAAGGATAAGAGAAAACAGAAGAAAGTTAAAGGTTTCCTAAACTCAGAAGATAACTGAAAATAAAAATAAGAATATTACAGTTACAAGTCAAATAATGAGAGGGGATAAGAGAAATATAAATAAGACAACAATGATATAAAATTAAAGGGGAAAATAACAAAAAATGATATAAACTTATGTAGATATAATTATTTTTATGAAATAGAAAATAAATGTGAAAAATGTTGATTTTTTTTTAACTTTAAAGATTTAAACATCTTGAAAGTATGTATTGTGCCCTAGGAAAATTTGATTTACAACAATTAACATTGTTATATATCTTAATGAAGTCATTTTATGTACCTAGATGTGAAAAGCCAAATACTACTAAAGTTGGGTCCCCCATACTCAATTTTTCTGCTTTTCATAAGCTTTATTTTTCTTTTTCAGTCAATGACCTTTTATTCAAATGTCAATTACGAGGGAGTAGATGATTACTTCAGCTTTGAGTAAGTATGACTTTAAAAAGAACTTTTAAATATACTACTCATTATTATAATGTGTAGGTATTTTTATTTTAATGGCTTCCTTACCCTTTAAATTTCCAAATTTCAAATAGAGATTGATGTGAAATTACTATTTAACTGTATGAAAATGTGAAATAGTCCTTGTAGTTCAATAGAAAATGACCTAGCTGAAGGTTGTCATTCACCCTAATGGAAATGCAAACAAAGGGCTTGCACTAGTCACCTTTCCATGTAGAACAAATAGCTGAGGCTGTTATCTCATAACCAGGAAAAAGTTGATCTGGCTCATTGTTTTGGAGGTTCTGGTTCCTGAGTGGCCCTGATGCTTTTAGGACTCTGGCAAGGAAGCACAGCTTGGCAGGCGCCTGGCATAGAGTAAATCTCTCACCTAACGAGCCCAGCAGCAAAGAGGAGGAGACTGGTCCCAAATCCCCTTTGCAAGTTCACCTCCCATAACCTGGAGGCCTCTCTGAAAGGTCCATCAGCTCCCAATAGCACCATCCTTGGAACCAAGCTTTAAACATGTAGTCCTTTGGGGATACTTACCAACCCAAAGCAAGGCTATTTCTTAATTCAATAGTCTTCATGCATCTCATTTCCTGTCTCAATGTCTCTATATTCTACCCTTAAGCAAGAGCAAGAACACTAATGGGTTAGTCAGCTTTCCATTGCTGTGATGAAAATACCCGAGATGCACAACTTAAAGGAAAAGGGTTGGCTTTGGTTCTAAGGTTTCAGTCTATGATCACTTAATTCCATTGTTTTAGGGACTGTGGTGAGAATATACTTCATGACAGAAGGGTATGGCAAAAAAAAGCTGCTCATTTCATAGAAGCCAGGATGAGACAGAGACAGAGAGTCAGAGACAGATAAAAAGAAAGAGAGACAGAGAGAGACAGAAAACAGTGACAAAATGTAGTCCCCAAGAGCATGCTCCTGAGGACCCACTTCCTTCAACTAGATCACACCTCCAAAGTTTCCATCACTTCCAAACATCTGATCAAATTATAACCCATCAGTGGATTAATCCATTGATGAGGTCAGAGACCTCATGATCCAATCATTTCTCAAAAGCCCCACCTCTAAATATTGCTGCATGGGAACCAAGTCTTCAACCTATGAGTCTTTGGGTTGCAGTCCAGATCCAAACTATAACATGTAACATCATGGAAAGTCTTTCTGAGTAAAGTCAGATAAAACACCATCTTCACCTCTAGGACAAGGTAGCTCTGAGGCACTTAATTTCTGGAGAAAGACAACCAACCTGAAATTCTGTGTGCGTTAGTCAGCTTTGCATTACTATGACAAAGTGCCTGACACAGGCTACTTTTGAAGAAGGGGTTTATTTAGCTCACAGTTTTGGAAGCTGAATGTCCAGACAGCAGAGCACAGGCTTGGTGAGGGTCACCCCTTGTCTGCATCACCTCACAGTAGATAGCCAAGGTGGGACTACAAGTAGGAGCAAGTAGATTACATCTGAAAACTGAGAGCAGCCAGGCTGGGTGGGACCATTAAAGGCTCACCCCTTTAATGACAGCCCTCTAACAGGAATCACTTCATGCCCTCCCAGTCTTAGGACCTCCCACAAGGACCACCCTTTAAAAGCTCTGCAATGCCTCCCACTTTTACCATCCTGTCAACCAAGCCTTGAATCAAAAGAACCTTTGGAGTGTGGAGACTCAACGAAGCCATATCCAATCACAGCCCTATGGGATCATTATGATCTCACAATATTTTTCAGAAAAACAGTATTTTTGCTTAGGAAAATACATCTATTTTTGTTTACTGTGCTACTACTCCAAGTACATTTGAGTTCCCACTGTATACCAAGCATTCTCTAGAAATTTAGAATAACAGGAGAAAAGTAAGTATGGGAAGAATGACGCACTGGTGCCATGGAATATATCTCCAGTGGGAAATAGCAAGTAATCAACTCAATGAGATAACTCCAAATACTGAAAAGTGATGTTAAGAAAATAAAACTAATGTATGACGGTAGTGACTAGGAAGGGTAAGTATGATCCTGTAGAACAGCTGGAGAGGCTCAATCCCCACATTCCTGCTGCTTTTCTCCTTATCCTTCTAATAGTTTGAGTTCCTTTGGGTATTTTGGCCTTTTTAGATATTTACTGAGAATTATGCTCTGTAGAATGCATAGGATATGTTGTTTAGTTTTTCCCTAGTTTTTTTTTTTGTTGTTGTTGTTTTAGTTTTTTTTTTTTTTTTTTTTTTTTTTTTTTTCAAAAAGTAAAGCCAGTTTTTGAAAAAGTAAATAACAGGTATGGTGTGAATCAAGCTTTCAAAACTTCTGTTGTTATAAGCCCTCTCATTTTGAACACAGAATGATTCATGTGCACTGAACAGTCAAGAAAAATGTTATATCTGACCTCCCTTTGCATTCCGGAGAGATCATATGGTGCAGCTTAGTGGGGTCCAGAAAGCTAATTATTCTCCATGCTTCCAGAGGTGGTGTCAATAGGAAAGGAAGTCGAGGGGGGTGGAGTTAGAACGGATGTAGTGACTACTACCTTGTAATGCCATCCAGAGCAGGCGGCTCAAGATGTCAGCACAGAACTTGAATGTCCAGGGACCAAGGATGCTCATGAAGTAGGGGGAGGGAGGCTTGAAGTGCTGATAGGATGCTCTTCCTGTTTTCCACTGTACCAATGATATGATGGCCAAAACATGGAGTACGTGAGGTGGGCCCCACTTTCCAATATGACTATAGTGCAGAGCTGCTTTCACGCAGCAGCTGGCTGTTAGTACCAGCACCACTCGCCAGCCCTCTGGAATTCCTCAGGGCTTCAAACACGTTGTGCACATGGAATTCTGCGTTTGCTCTACAGAAACAGGGTGTCATGGTGCCACCATCATCATTCTAAAATAACCTATGTGGGCTGTTTTTCCTAGACACAAGAACATGGGTAATATATTTGTTCAACTCCGGCCTAGTCAGCATGCAAATGTGTGTCCAGTGACCCAGAAGGTAAGTCACACTGGCAGTGGCAAACTCAGTAATACGGTGCTACTTCCCTCTACTTAGTAATGTCTCACTGTAAAGATAGTATTATTTTATTTTAAAAGCAGAAGATAGAATTTCTCTTTTCTGTGAGTTTATTGTCTAACGTAAGATGTAAAACCACATACAAAAATCTAAAAAGTGTTAATTTTTGAAAGTTTGAAGATAAGTCAAACCGTGTAAAGGAAAACTGAAATTAATGGATACATCCAAAGTTTGGCATGGTTCATCAAAGAACCGCCAGACATATTCCTATCTAGCCTGCATTTATTCGGTCAAAATGATACAATCGTTTATTCATTTAAAAATGTGCGATATGCTTATTACACTTCCGTGCTTCCGTCTGTGTGCTGGGTAATGAGAGTTACCAAGATGAGAAGGTCCCTAGGGCCAAACACAAGTTAGCTTAAAGGAGTGTGGTGTACACAGTTACCAAATAGTCCAGGAGAAAGCGTACACAGCTTTGACTGGGAAGCAAAATGTGAAAAGAAAGTGACACATGAAATGAATGTTGGTGGGTCAGTAGAAGTCCAGCAGGCCAGTGCAAAGGAAATTTCAGGACGAGGTACAGACAAAAGCAGAAGGAAGTGGAGTAGTCAGTATGTTCAGGACCTCTAAGTATTATGAAATAAAACACAAACTCTTTAACAACCCCACATTCCTTGTGTCTGCGATCCACACGAAGGAATGCCTCTGCTTCTCACCCTAACTAACATTCAGGGAACAGATACGGAGCACTGAACCAGGCATTGTGCTACATGCAGGGAATACAGAGTGAAGTAGAAGCCCAGCACAGGGAGCCTGCTCCAACCAGGGCAAAGTGCCACGGGTTTAGAGGGAGCTTTAAAGTGACAGGGATGCGATCCACCCTTGAGCACTGGTGGCACATGCTGGTTCCCTGTGTACCAGTAGCTCCTCTGTGCCGACCACAGACCCACCCGGCTTCATCTACTTCGGCAGCAAGAGCTGCAACCTTGCTCGTTCCTGTCCCAGCCCAGGTCTGTGTTTTCTGCCTTCAGCTGCTTAACCTATTCATTTATGGATGCCTTCCTGAGGCCACCATGACTACCCCATCCTTCTCTAGTCCATTGCTTCATTAGGGATCCCTATCCTTCCAGCCCAGGCATCACACAAGCAGGTTCATCTAAACGGAGTGCAGATCCCGGCACTACCTCTCACTGGCTTGGACCAGACCCCTGAACACTCAGGCTCACCTGCCTCACCTGTAAAAGGAAGAAATGTAACATCTATCTCATTGAGAGTGTTAAATGAGATCACTTATGAAAAGTATCCAAAACAGTGCCTGTCACAGGGTAACTATACAATATTACTGTTTTTCTCCTTCTCTCTCTTCTTTGGAACCCCCTAGACAAGGACAGTTTAAGTCTGATCCCCTGTGGGCCCACTGCAGTTGGCACTGAGTTTCCCACTGAAATCAAATGGACAAATGTGCAAGAGCCCTTTCAGGCAATAGGGAAATATGGTCCAGTAGAGACAGAGCTTCTCATTAGCCAACAAAAGCAAAACCTATACACAACTACAGAGCACACTGTCGTCCACAGGATCCTTTCTTTGCACTCCCACACTCATAAACAGGCAAGCTGTCAGCCTCCAAGGTCAACAGAGAAACACAGGTCCCAACCTGTTCACATGCAGAACCATGATCCACGGCCTTCATCAGTTGTGTGAATTTAGACCCTTGTTAAACCTGGTAGGAGCCTGCTGTCTTTGTCACTTGGTCTGTATGACTTCCAGCAGAGCAGCAAATAGAACCAGCAACTCCAATAAAGCTATGTCTTTTCACCATGCACCAAGAAGAGAAAATATAGAAAGACAGGCCAGTCCTAGAAGGTCTTAGTAATTCTTTCCAAGATGAGTTTCCGCAGGGAGGGACGACTACAATTTACCAACAGTTCTGAGGTGAGAACCATTACAACTCTTACCTTGCCCAGAATAGCAAAAACAATCCTGCACAACAAGAACAAAGCAAGAGGCATCTTAATTCTGGATTTCAAGTTTTATTATAAAGGTGTAGTGAGAAAAACAGCATAGAAACAGATATAGAAACAGCATAGAAACAGGTATAGCATAGAAAACAGATACGTGGACCAAAGAAACAGAACTGAAGATAGAAAAACAACCCCAGCCACCTTCAAACATCTGATCTTCGACAAACGGGTCAAAAACACAGGCTGGGGAACAGATAGCTTCCTTAGCAAGTGGTTCTGGGAAAACTGGTTATCTGCATGTAAGAGAATGAAGCGGGGCCCATATCGCTTTAATCAGAGGACAATTAAAACTGACAAAGTAGAAACTGGCAGCAAAATACAGTCTCTCAGGGACCTGGAATCAAGACGCCTAAAAAACAACAACTTGACAAAGAGAAGAAAAAAAAAAAGCAGATCTCTAGGAATCGTGAGGAAATTAATAGGAAAACTAGAAACTATAAAGAAGCTGGAGCAATAGAGCATAACACAGAAAATAGAGCAAGGTGGTCTGAAAAGCTCACCCCGGCTCCTGGGCTAGGAGACTTGTCTCTGCTGACACAAGGTGATCCCAGACGGTCAGGAGGTGCAGAAAGGAACAATGGACTGAGCTAGCAGTGCTAGCCCCCAAGAAAGCCCACAGCTACTGTAAACTGCAGAAACAGAATGGGGTTTTACTCTGGAAGTGACTCCTTCCACACGGCAGGCTAGAGTCAGAGAAGAAATCCAACGCAGCACCCTCCATATTTGAAAGGGTGTATCAGGAGCCACATTGGGAAGGGGTTTATTGTTTAAGATGACAGTACAGAACAACTTCCCTTCATGGTTTATGGTGCCAACGTACCACTGGGTGGGAGATGGCCACAAGAGACAGTTGGGAAGAGGGCATGGGCTAGACAGAGACCCTCCCTGAAAAGTTTAAGCTCAGGCCAGGAAGGACAGGGGGGCTCTACCTTCTGTAGTGAGAAGCCAGGGTGGTTGTTTGTGGCTCTCCACGAGGACTGAACCTGCAAGTGCTGTCAGCAAGACCAGTGATTTGCTTCAACCCCCACCATGCTGCCCACATCCAGCACAGAGCTCAGTAATCTGTTCGCTTTCCTCATCTACCAACATGAGCGAGCATATGCTTCGGCTTGGACGGTTGCCACAGCCTGGAGTTTAAGGACAGAGGGGCCTCTGGAGCAGGCTGGGGGCACCTCACAAACCCACAGGCCCTAAAGTTGGGTGGAGAAAGTCTTGACCTGGGGTGCACAGAGGCACACAGAATCGGGGAGCTGCCAGAGTGACTACAGCCTTATGGAGGACACCTTTAACTGGCCATGTGCAGTGAAAAGGGCAGGGCAGGATTCAGCATTCACACACAAACAGGTGAGTGTGGAAACAAAATAGGTCTTAGCAGTGACTCACTATCCCTGTCCCATATCTAGTGGTTCCAATATTGCGGATCCTAACCACTCATCAAAAAGAATTTTTTTGAGGCCAGGTCACACTATATGGCAATCCTCTTGCCTCAGCCTCCTGAGTGCTGGTTGTCTTAATTACTTTTCTCTTTGCTAAGGAAAAATACCTGACACCCAAAGCTAAGGGAAAAAAACTTTATTTAGCTCACAGTTTGTAGAGGTTTTAACCCATAATCAGCTGGGTCCAAGGCAGGCTGGCTTGGCAGAGAGGCATCCCAGAAGGGGAAACAGTTCAAGGTAGCAGAAGACAACAAAAGCAAGCAAGGGGAGTAAGACAGGCCTCTTTCTGTCCCTTGCATTGTATCCAGTCTACTGCGATTAGGGCAGTGCCAATCCAATCAGAGGACTAATCCAGCAATCACCCACCCTTAATCCCACCATTGCACTATGAATCAGTAACATACTCTAGATTCGGCCACCTCCAAAAAAAGTCTTATGACTGCATGACTCTTTGGGGGATCATCTAGACACAAACCATAACACTGGGTTACAGGTGTGTGCCACCATGTCTGGTTTATGGAGAAATTCTTTTTTTGTGTGTGTCTCTTTTTGAGACAGGGTCTCATTATGCAGTTCAGGCTGGCCTTGAGCTCACTTTGTAGCCCAGGCTGGCCTCAAACTCACAATGATCCTCCTGCCTCATCCTCCTGAGTGCTGGGATTACAGATGTGCATTACTATGCCCAGATATGAAGGAATTCTTTTTGACTCATTTTATTTTTTTGCTTCAAGGGGAGGTGGAAGTGCTCTTTATTTTTTTCTTGCTTTACTGTTTCCCTTTTTTCTTCTTTTTCTTGCTTGTTCTTTCCTGTTGCTTTTATCTAATTATATTAATTCTCCCTTACTCTTTAATGCAATCTTTTATCTCACTTTTCTCTCCTCCTTCTCATCTTCCTTTTCTTTATTTTCAAACTTCTTTTATTCTCCTGTTCCCCACCCCTCCATCTTTACTAATATAATGATTAAGCTTTATTAGTCTTTAGATATTTACTTAACTCTATGCTATGATTGTTGAATTCTTTTCCATTGTTTATGGTGGTATAGTTGTTGCATTAATCGATATTTATGTCAGTAAATATCTTTGGTTTGTCTCTGTGTTTATATTAAAACTATAGATCTCTTGTTTATAGTTAAGGGTGATTCAGTGGTAGCTTTTATTTTCTTCTAGTCCGTCATATCCAGTTTGTCTTTGCCTCTATTATTGTTGCTAATAGAAGGCGACATGTTGCTATTAATTAGTTTTGACTGTATTGTCAATATCTGGCTTCTCTTTGTGTCATCAATACTGCAGTTCATTTTTTGAGAACTAGGTGCTGGACCAATTACACTATACCTTCTCCACCCAAATTAATGGAGGTTAGATCTTGGGACAGAGGCAAAGATGTAGGGTTAGTCATACCCAAAGTACATCAGTGCAGATCAGACATTAATTAAAGAGATTCCCATACTAGCAACAAAGACTTTTCACTATAATCAACCCACAAATCTCAGCATGCACACATACACACACACACACACACACACACACACACACACGCACTAGAAACGTGAGAAGACAAGGTAACAAAATACCTCCAAAAATTCCCAACTCCCCCAAAGCTTATTAGTGGGGAGGAAATAAAAACCCAAACAGATGAACTATGTGAAATGATAAAAGAGGAGAAAAGAATAGATCAATATGGTGCTTGCAAGCTCAAGGAAGATATAACTAAACAGATAGTGGATTTAAGAAATAAAATGATCCATCAGCTTACAGAAGACACTAATAAAAAGCTAGCTGAGCTAAATAAATTGATACAAACATGACCAACCAGCTTAGCAAAGAATTAGGGTCCATGAAAATGAACCAAACAGAAATCCAAGAAATTAAAAATTCTATTGAAAAATTTTATTGAGGGCCGGGGATGTAGCTCAGCGGCATGGCGCCTGCCCGGCAAACGTGAGGTCATGAGTTCGATTCCCAGTTCAAAAAAAAAAGAGAAATTTTATTGAAAGGATGGAGAAAGCTGTATACCAGGATCCTACATTTACAAAGTTACAGCTGGATCTTTCCTACCTCAAAAACTGGAAATCTGAAATGCTCCAAAATCCAAAACTTTTCGAACACCAGTATGACGTTACAAAAGGAAAATTCCACATGACTTTATATTATGAGTTACAATCAAAAGCAGGTACACTAAAATATGTTATTAAATTACCTTCAGGCAATGTGCATATGCTATACATGAAACCAGTTAATTTTGTGGTTAGACTTGGATCCTATCTCCAAGACTTTTCACACCCATGTACATATTCCAAAACCCATAAAATCAGAAATCTGAGTTATGTGGTGCTAAGCACTTCACATAAGGGATGCTCTAAATTCTAAGTTTAAAATATTGTTTTTAGCTGTAGTAATATCTTAGATCATTTGAATCAGATAAGCTGAACTCACTGCCTAAATTACTTCTTTTTTAGGTGTTTCAAATTGGTGTTGGCTGTGACCCTCAAAAATTTATTGAAGTTAAAGGGCAAGTATATCTCCACTTGACCTATCTTATTCTTTAAGTTGTAAAACAAATGGTGCACTACATAGTCATTACTAGTGATGACATTAGCCTAATAACTGATATGTCTATGGTGAAATCTAAAATTGAACTGACATCAGTGTCCAATTTCAATTGGTTTGAACTTGTTGCCAAGGTAAATACTACATTTAAATCATGCTAAAAATGAAAAGCACTAATCTATACTTCAGCATCTCTTTATTCTCCTTCCCTCTTAATAAGCCAGTTTCTTCCTTTTACCAACGCTTCTCGCAGCTCTGCAGTCCTCAGCACATTCTCGGAGAACCAAGAGAAAGAAACCATCTCTGTCTGCCATCAGACTCAATCTTCATAATTTCGTGTCCGTTAGAAAATTCCTTACACCCACATCAGAAAAGCCTCAGCTCTCTGCACCATTCTCTATGAGCAACTTGCTAGAGCCACCTTAGCAGAACAAGAAGCGCTTCCCTCAGAGACTCCAAAGTGTGAATTCTGTTGGCCTGATTATGGTTCACAGCGAAGCACACGGGATGGTGTGTCTTCAGTTTGCTATAGTGCTCATCCCTCCAATGTGGCAGAAAATCAGTGTGAACTCACAGATCTGACTGAGGTCAGCGTATAGCAGCAATCGTGATTCCTTTCCTTGGGTTAGGAGTGGGATGGCAGTGCGGGAAACAGTGGCTCTCACCTGGCTACTTAGGAAATAGCTTGCTCTCACCCAAAGCAAATATGCGCTCTTCCATCCTCCTACTAGTCTTTTGGTTACTACTGAGTTGTAGCAATCACCTGCTGGGACGATAATTAAAGTTTGCCATCTCATTCGGCATTTCCTGAATTTGATCTTCCTCATGCCTTTGGAGCCATAATTCCTTTTCCAGGCAACACAACATGGCTGATTTGTGCAGCCTGCACCATCCTTACTTCTGCGATGGTTTACGTCTTTGCTCCTCAGAGCGTGTACAAGGACCCACGCTGGCATCACCTGAGAACTTGTTAGAAATGCAGGAGCTCACACCTCATTCAGACCCACAATCTTCATTTGAACAGTATTTGCAGGAAATTTAAGAATACCTGCTGTAAGCAGTAGGTTACCAAAATCGACTTCTGATCCCAGCACGTGCAGAATTCCTCCGCAGGCCCCTGATTTCCACCCACAGTGAGGTGTAAAGCAGCTTGAACTAATCTATCTCTTTTGTCTAGATTATCCAGCTTGGTCGTTCATCAGAATCAACTGGACAGCCAGGAACACTGATGCCTCCCTATAATCCCAGCTTTTAGGGGGACTAAAGCAGAATTGCTGCAAGTTCCCTGGGGAACTTAAGAAGACATTGACTCAAATTTTTTTTTTAAAAAGGGACTGGGTGTGTAGCTCTGTGGTAGAGTACCTTTAGGTTTAATCCCCAGTACTAGAAAAAAAAAAAAAAAATCACCCAGAGAGCATGCTACAAAACACTGATTTCAGGACTGTATTTTGGGTCTCTTAGTCAGTATCCCTAGAAACAACTCTAGTGTCCTGGGCTTAGGGTGCAGTGGGCTTAAGGTTTTCACAGTTACTAAGGGACACCGGGGAGAGTCTGAGAGAGCCAGACTGAGCCGGCAATGAAGGATACAAGGCAAAAGAGAGCAACTTTTGGAGTCCAGTGTGGATTTAGGAAGGGAGGTGATGTAGACCAGGGTCTATTTAGAATGATGGCGACAAGAGTTCCTTCCCAGTTACACTGGAAGCAGCTAGCTATTTTTTTTTCTTTTTGAGACAGGGTCTCACTATGCAGTGCAGGCTGGCCTTGAGCTTACTTTGTAGCCCAGGTTGGTCTCGAACTCAAAACGATCCTCCTGCCTCAGCCTCCTGAGTGCTGGGATTACAGGTGTGAGCCACCACACCTGGCTCTGGAAGCAGCTAGCTGAAATGATCCAATGAATAACTTACAAAAAGCACCAGCATTCACTCATAAACCATTATAACCTCTGTCTACATAGACCTTAAGTAGAAATTATGTGAATCAAAGTATACATAATATAAAGGGCAAAATAAAAGACAGATAATAGGAAACAAAGAGATAGATCTTTTGCAAATGGGAAGTGGATCTAGAGACAGAGGGAGGGGACAGGAAAGAAGGAGAAGGGGAAGTAAAAAGAATTAAGATGTGTTGTGTAGGGGCGCCAGCTTCCCACAATAAATGTAGTCACTATGCACTGCACAGATGTACTAATGAACACTAAAATAATTTAAAGAGATTATGTGAGTCCTTAAAATAGTATCTTACCTGCATAAAGGGTCTCTAGGAGAAACTAGACATTTGGTGTTTTAAACAAAATTTATGTTGTAAAATAAACAGTCCAAAGAAATCTGGTCTTCATTTTGATACATTATCTATAAATTTGTTTGTATAGCCCCTCTTCTCTTCTCTTTTTTTTTTTTGTGTGTGTGGTTCTAGGGTTGAACTCAGGGCCTTGCACATGCTGAGCAGTGAAGCAAGTGTTCCACTACTACTGAGTTACCTTCCCAGCCCTTTTTTATTATTCTGAGACAAGGTCTTTGCTAAATTCCCCAGGCTGGACTTAAACTTGTAATGCTCCTGCCTCTACTTTTCTACAAGAAGCTGGGATTACAGGCACACACCACCACCCCCGGCTTGAGTCAAATTTTTTTATCGTGATAACATTTACATAGTATGTGAAACTTGCCATTTTACCTATTTTTGAATGTATAATTCACAGGAATTAAGTACTTCCATGATGCTGTACACTTAGCATCACTACCCAGTTCCAAGATATCTTCATTACTCCAAAAGGTAACTGTAGTATTAAGCACTCGCTCCCCTTCCTGCCAGCACCTGGTGACCGTCATTTCCTGTCTCTGAACTTTCCTGATCTGGATATTTTGTGCCAGTGCAGCAATGCATAAGATTTTGTGTCTGGCCTCTTAGCACATTTTTGAGGCTCACGGGTGTGGTGGTACTTCGTTCCCTTTTACAGTGAGTAACTGTACGGATATGCCACATTTGATCTGTTCCTCGGCTCATGAATATTTGGACTCTTTCTATCTTTTGGCTTTTGCAAATAGTACTGCTACGAATATTTGTGTACAAGCTTTTGTTTGGTCATCTTTTCAATCACGCATTCTGGGTGTGTACCTAGGAGTGGAATTTTTCACTGAATCACATGATACTCCTATGTTTGATGTATTGAAGAAATACCAAACTCTTTTGCTGCACCATCTTACATTGGTAACAGCAATGTAGGCGTGTTCCAATTTCTCTACGTCTCTCCAAGACTTGTTCTTTTCTATTTTTGTTTTTTCCCTGGTTTTCTTTTTATTATTCACAGAAAATTATATGTATCTATTGTGTACAACATTCTGTTTTTAAGTCATCATGAAATGAGTAAATCTAGCTAGTTAACATACATGTAGTTATCATTTTGAGGTGAGAATGCATTCATTTTCAAGAATATAATATAGTATTAACTATAGTTTACAAGTTGTACAAAAGATCTCTTTACTTTACTTTTCCTATCTAACTGAAAGTTTGTATCATTTGAGCAGCCCATCTCCAATCTCCCTCACCACCATTTTCTGTAAAGTGGAGGGAGGGTAAGACAGGCTCTCACTATGTAGTCTAAGCTAGCCTCAAATTTGTGATCCTCCTGCCTCGGCTTCCCAAATGCTGGGATTATAGGCATGCATCACCATACCCAGCCTATATATATATGCAGGGGGACAATGTCTCATTATGTGGTGCAGGTTGGCCTTAAGCTTGCTATGTAGCTCAGGCTGACCTCAGACTCTAGGCAATCCTCCTGCCTCAGCCTTCCACGTGCTGGGATTACAGGCATGCACCACCACACCCAGCTGCCTATAATTTTTTGATAAAGGTGAGCAATATAAAAGAGATAAATCAATAGGTTTCAAAGTCCTATGTCTTGAGAAACATTTGTAAAATTGATTTTTAAAAAGTAGAAATGCTAGGGCTACAAAGTAACCCCAGAGATTCTAATTCAGTGAATAATGACTCTATGACACTCTCCAGTTTGAGAATCATGAACTAAATATTTGTGCATATATATAAGAAATGATGCTCTAACTTCATTGTTTTATTTTTCTAGGTTTAGCACAATAGCATGTGCTCACCATGAATTTTTTTATGAGATCGACAAGTAAGAAATAGTTTTTAAAATAAGCACCTAGCTGTACATTAATGTAATAACATTAGTAGTAATTTACAATCAGTATTTATTCACTGAATTTCTATTGGCATCTATGTGTTCAGCCTGACATTGTGAGGCTGGTTTTAACATTAAGCAAAATGTTTAGACCCTATAATTATCCTTCTCTGAAAAATGCAAGAGAAAGATTTAGTCACTGTCTTCGCCTTCAAAGTAATTGGATAAACAAAGTAAGCCTCATTTACTAGTAAGCCTCATAAACTAGAGGGAACAAATTCCATATTATTCCCTGTAGTTTAAAGAAGACGTACAAGAGTATGGTTTTTTCCTACACCAATTTTCTTTAATTCCACATTCATGTAGTTAGAATTCGTGGATTTAACAGGAAAGTCCCAACATCAACTATTCTACTAACTGAACTTTTATGATATATTTTGCATTTTAATTTTGTGCATATTTTAATAATGTATTTTACTGACAATATAACTAACCAGAATCCAACTTTTGCTTTTGTAAGGCAAAAATCATTATTAAAAAATGTTAAATATTTATTGGTTATCCAAAGTACAGAAAAGCAGTCTCTGATATATTCACCAGTGACTTTGAAAAAGTTGTGACCTGTTCTAACTCTAATTCTAACAATCAGGAATATCCCCCAAAGAGCTGGGATTAAACTGCAAACAATAGAAGGGGTGAACGGGAAAGGTCTGATGGTTGGGTCACTACCTTCCCATGTCTATGTGGCAGCCGGACCTTATGGGAAAGCATGTGAAGTAAGCCTTATCCGTTGTGGTAGGAATGTCCTGAGTTCCTCCCCGGAGCACAGTTAGGACATACGGAACATGAGGCTAGAGTCAAGTCAAATTGGAGAACTGATAAGAAATACCTGAGGGAGAGTGGTACTGAAGGAAAAAACTCTGGTTCATAAAGGGAAGGGATTCTCTAATAGTGAGAAATCTAAATTAGAAGGTAACTGAAGTTTTAAAACACACATCTATTGTTACTGTTTCTAAACACCTCATTTTTTCCTCTGTTAATAGTCTAGGAAGAGGGTCAGGGATATAGCTCAGTGGCACAGCACCTACTCGGCAAGTACGAGGTCATGGGTTCGATTCCTGGTACAAAAAAAAAGTCTGAGGAAAAACTACACTGAAATAGCACAAGAAATGTGGGCTTTATTATCATGTATCTTTCACAGGAGTGAAGCAAGGTTTGCTACCTTGAAAATTTTCATATAATTTCTGAGAATGGTGCCATATTGTCTCAGTGGAGGACAGTAATTTGTACCTTGTTTGTTATTGCAAGAATGTGGTAATATGTATGGAAATATGTGGAAAATGCCTGAAACACAGGAAGCATTCACTAGCTAATAATCATGTTTATGTATGTGGTATTTCTTATACCTCCTTAAACAAAGTCTTGGTCTTAGTATTTAAGTTTGAAAAGAGGAAAAAAATAAATAATGAAGAATATCTTTTTTGTAGGGCATATCTGAGACATCAACCTCCTAAAAACTTGGTAAGAAAATTATAATTTTTGTCAGTGACTCAAATGTATATAATAACTAAAAAACACTTCTCTTTTTCTAGAAAGTAAGGTATGACTGGGAAAAATTTGGTTGCCCACTGAGACTTACTGGCCACGAAAAGTTTCAACCCTTGATTCAATTGTAAGTATGTGCTGGTTAAAATTTTAACTCATTTTAGAAATTTCATAATAGAAGCATAAAAACAAGATTACTCATGCATTTAATAATAAATATTTTTGAGAATTTAGTATATGTAAGTAGTGGTTATGCAAAGTTTGACAAACATAGTCTCTGCATATTGAGGCTGAGGTCCGAGTAGATAAGAGCGTAGGCAGCCCTAATTTTATCCGCCTTAAATATCTCCCCAGGCTTCTATCAGAACCCCTGCCTATATGATAAGAACTACTTTACCCGGTGACCAGACTGCTCTTTGCTTGAACCTATAATAATGAAAGCTTATTTGAAAAGAAACTAGCTTGTTGATAAGCACATTGAAAGGACCTCAAAAATATTATCCCTAATTTAATTCCTACAAAGGAGATCTCACAATTAAAGTATGAATAAAATGCCACAGGGGAGGCTTTTTTCAAAGTAATTCTGTATTTGTTTGCTCCCTTTGTGATGTGTGTGGGGATCAAACCCAGGGCAGAGCCCAGACTAAGCATGCGTTCTATCACCGAGCTCCACCCGCCCCCCGACTTTGTTATGTCATTCTTGGCTTATTCTTATAAAAGTTAAACAGCATGTTATAAACTTTAATGTATAGAAAAAATACAAGAGAGTTAAATGACCCATGCTTCTAAATGTCTTGCTACCATGAACAAATTATGGTGAGTATGCATTTATGTATGTCTGACATATTTATGTATGACATAGTCGTCCAGCGAAGCCGTGGGATAAATCACTGGAAGTAAAGCTTCTGTGTCTAAAACACCAAAACTTTGCTCAAGGTTTCCAGCCATTGACAGCCACTCTGGCTGAAGATGAGGCAGATCTCTCGGGGTGCGCAGGTATAAGAGTAGTGAGTCAGGAGTTCCTGCTACTTTCCTACCAGAGCTGTCACAGTTGGGACCCAGAAGCCTGTGCTTGGAGGATTACATAGCGTGTTTTAAAAGGCAAGAACTAGAAGTGGCTTTCATCACTCCCACCCACATTCCACCATCTGGAATTTAAAGTCACGGCCTCTATCTAACTGCAGCCTGGTCTAGGAAATGTAAATAGGTACAACTCCTGAAACCCAGACTCATTCACTGAAATGTTGTATACCCATGCAGTTTTTCCACTTAAATGTTGAACAAATATATCAAACTGGCCAAAACTGAATTCTTGATCTTCCTCTTAAAACCTGCTTCACCATTTCAATTGATAATAACTCCATGTGTCTGCTTGATCAGTCTAAAACCTTAGAATCTTTCCTGACTCCTCCCTTTCTGATATGCCACATCCAGTCCATCAATATATTCTGTTTGTTCTATCTTGAAGATGTACACAGAGTCCATTCATCACTATTTGAGCTGCTACTGTCCTGAGTCAAGCCATCAAATCTGGATGACCACAGTAGTCTGTTGGTTTCCCTGCTTCTATTCTTGATTATATATATATATAGTAGCAAGGGGGAATTCTTTAAAACAAAGTCATAGCACGTTACTCCTAAACTCAAAATCCTTATCACTGAGTAAAAGCCAAGTCCTGACAACGACTTACAAGGTTCTGTGTGATTCTCTGCTGCTGTTGCCCGGCTCCCACTTGCCATCCGCCAAGCCACATGGTCTCCTTTCTGCTCAGGTAAGTCAAGCCTGCCCCCACCTCAGGGCCGTGCACCTTTGGCCACTCTGCTCTTCCCCCAGAGGTTCACACAGCTGTCCGCTCACTACCCTCAAGACCTGTTCAAATGCTGCTTTCTCTGTGAGCCTTAGACTGACTTTTGTGTTTAAAATTGCAACCCTCCTTGACATCACCTTTTTTGCTCACAGTATTTATGGCCACCTAAGGAAGTACACTTTTATTTATTATTTTCCCGCTACTATTATGTAAGTTCTACAAAGTATTTTTTCCCTATTAGTTACTGCTGTGTCCTCTAGGGCTTAGAACAGTGCCCAGCACATAGGGAACAATCAGTGAACATTTGCTAGATGGCTCCCTGAAGTTTAGGTGGATGGCTGTCCCCACCTGGACGAATAGTAATACCGTCAGGTATGATATGGAGCAGAGACCAAGGTGGCACACGGGTGAGAGGGCTGGCTGAGTTTTAGTCACCTTGAATTTGAGAAGTTTCTCTGGCATCCAGATGGAAATATTCAAGGCAGAGAATGTTAAATTGAAGCATCTGAAGTTCAGCTAAATGACCTGAGTAGAGATATGTTTAGGAGTCCAGAGTAATTGAGGGATATCAAGAATAAATATGAGCCAGGCATGGTGGTGCAGTCTATAAACTCAGCTCTCTGCGAGGCTGAGGAATGAGAGTTATAGGTTTGAGTCCGGCCTGAGCAATTAGCAACTCATCAACATTTTAACTCAAATTGAAAAGTAAAAAGGGCTGGGGATGTAGCTCCGTGCAAAGTCCCCAACTCAATCCCCAGTACTGTAACAACAACAACAATAATAACCGTTGTGAGTGATCAGAAAGACTTGTTGGGGTATCCAGGAACTTCAGATGCCACTCTTCTTCCTAAATCCTGAGTTAAGAGAATAATATGACAAAGGGGTCAGAATATGTGAGCTTACAGTCTCTCATTACTGACAAAAATACATTGGCAGATATGGTGTGCACATGTAGAAAGTGAACGTCCTGCTACTCCTTCGGTAATACTGTGCTAAGGACAGGAAGAATTATCCCACCACGCTCAGGCATTGCTGGTCCTCTGTCGTCTGTCTTGGAGGCTAGGTGAAATGTAGAAACGAAGGCACACAGAAGTACGTGCTATCCTAAATGCAACCAGCTCTAAGAATAAAGATGGAGAAGCAGAGCCAAGAATGCCCAGTTATTCTCTAACTCACCCTTTAAGCCAAGCCATCTCACACAAGGCAAAATGACAGAAAGACAGGGGTAGGCCACATAAAAGGGAGTGTTAAATCAGCAAGGTGCAGTGGTGCACCTCAGCATTCGGGGGGCTGAGGCAGGAGGATTGCTGAGTTTAGGGCCAGCTTGGGCTATACAGTGAGTTCAAGGCCAGCCTGGAATACATAGTGAGACCTTGTCTCAAGAAAAGTGACATGTATTCTTCCTTAATCATATGCAAAAAAAAAAAATATTCTGAGCCAAAGAGTAACCCTGCCAAGACAGTGCACAGGGGCATGTGAATCTAGAAGGTCCAGAAAGAAGATCCAGAGAAATATAAGGACAGAATAGATGATGTGGAATTATAACATCAAAGAGAAAGGGAATTTTGAAGAAAAAAAGGAATGAAAGTCTCAAATTTAGAGATCTTGTAATTAAGCACTGAAAAGTGTCCCTGGATTCGATGTTAGAATATTATTTGTGATCTTTATAAAAGTAGTTCCTATGAAATAGCGAGAACAGAAACCAGATTGCAGGAGATCTGCAGACTGGACCAGAAGCTTGCAAGTAGAAGCAAAATGTAGTTTATACTCTGTGAACTCTTGGTTGGAAAGTAGAGGAAAGAAATAGCGATCTATAATAAAAATACAAAATCACGAGGTTTGTGGGGGTGAGGTTTGTTTATGTGTTTGTTTTTTTAAAAAGGAAAGATAGAGGAGCAAATTTACAGTTTGAAGAAAAGAAAAAAAAGTTTAAAAATGAGTCATTCTGATTAGTAGTATGGCATTAGTAACTGAGCTAAGTCATTTCCCAACCACAATACATACACATGATGCTGGGTAAAATATAGCAAAGATGTTTTATATGCAGCCAGGCTTGGAAGAAAGAAGGAGAGATCTGGAAGCACTTGCTGGAAGTCAAGGGAGAATTCAAAGACACAGCAATGGGCTGTAGCCAGCCTACTGTAGTCTGGGAGTGCTGGTCCGGAGTACTGGAACTTGGCATTGGAAGCTGGGTTTTAAGGGCGCTGTGGAACCAAAAGGCTCTTTCTTCACTCCAGCCAGGACATATGAAGAGTTGCCTAGTCCAAAAAAAGAGAAATTAGAAATCTCTGTTCAATGTCTAGAGAAATAGCAAAGAAAGTGAAAAGCTGCCTGAATTTATGGGCAAAAAAAATTTATGATAATGTGAAATGTCTATCCCAGAACATTATGCAGATGTGGATCTAAAGTTAACATATTTAGTAAGAATACACTAGAGTAACAGAAATGGCTATGTGAAAAATGATGCTTATTGTCGAGTACTCATGGAACCTTGAGACCCCGATAGAAAATTGGAAAAGCAAATCCAGAGGTATAAGATTTCCACTGGAAAAAATCACCACCACCAAAGAATTTAAAATAACAACCTGAATAATCTATGGAGTATGTTTAAATGAATAGCAGGAAAATAATGTGGAAATCATAATAAAATACTATGAAAAGAAAGGAAGGATTTTTTTAAAAGTAGAAATTCTACACATAAAAAGTCATTAAGTTCAAAATTTTAGACATAATTACAAGCCAGATTTGATATAGCTGAAGTCATAATTAATGAGAAAGACAGATATGTGGAAATCAACCAGAATACAATGTAAATAGGTAAAGATACATAAAAAAATAAGAAACTATTGCAGGCAGATAACAAATTCCAACATAAGCCAAATAATTTCCTCCAGAAAAAAAAGTTAGGAAAAAAAAGTGTTGAAAACAGAAAAACAACATTCAATAAAATAAAATATGAAAACTTTCTAGAATTTATTAAAGGCCTGATGACCTAAATCATCATGTTGAAGATTGATATGAAGTCTCAACCCTAAAATGAAACCATAAACACCAAAGAAAATCACATACACTGTTAAGACAGAACAGCTACAATGGAATCTCCTTCCATGGGCATATTTCTCACTGGCAAAAAGAGAATGGAAGTAATAGAACGGTATTTTTATTGAGCTGAGGGAAAGGGGTGTTAATCTTGCATTAAAAATCTAAACACATTTCATTTAAGAATGAAGGAAAAATAGATACATATGCAAATAAGATTTTACATTTCAAAAACCCTTAAGAAAAATTACTGGAGAACTTTTATTCCATAAGAAGGAAAATAAACCCTAAAAAGAAGGAATAAGACACAGGAACCTACAGTTAGAACAGAAATTATAGGGAAATGTGAGGAGTGGCTGAGCCATGGCTGAGCTGGAGGTCAGCGAACTCTTTGGGGCTAGAGCAAGGCCGGCCCTGAGAACACGGAGCTCCAGAGGTGAGCCATGTACACAAGTTGTTGGGACTACAGTAAGGCCAGTCCAGCAGGTGTCTGGCCTTGGTGTTCTCCCCTATTAACTACAGCACAGAGCTTTGAAAATGTTTCACTTTCAGTGTTCTCAGCAAAACACTGAGACCTTGCACTTTTGACTCCACTGTACACTTCCCCCTTTTTACCCAGTATAAATAAAGACACAGAGGTTGGGACGTTGTCACTGCCTCCCCATCAGAGAGGTCAGGCCCCACCTGGTCCCAGATTTCCTTTTAGTATGAGTCTATAGTTCTTCTTAATCTCCCATCACCCCCTCTCAGGATCCAGCTCCCCATGCAGGTCATGGCAAAATGTAATCAAAGATGAACTATCGGAACAAGAAGAGTAGTGAATACCTTTGATGCATGAGAAATCAGGGCAGAAGTGGAGTGTTACCTAACACGTCAAACGGGAACAAGATGATTAGAGTTAAATTGTTCTGGAATCATCATGTTGTTCAGGAGTACAATAAAGACTTTTTAAAGTGAAATGATCAGTAAAAGAATAGTAAGAAGAACTGAGTGGGTAGAAAGGAAATCTTGATATGGAGATAGGTTGCTAGAAGTGTACCACCTACTGGGAATCACTTGATAGCACCTTTTTGCTTCCAGTTCTTCTAGAATAATCAACCAAATGTTAGAGGCCAACTCCAGAGGAACAATCAGATCAGTGAGGCTTAGTGTCCAGTTCAACTGCACTGTCCCAAAACACAGCTGCTGGGCTGGGGATTTAGCTCAGCGGCAAAGCGCCTGCCTGGCAAGCACAAGGTCGTGAGTTCGGTTCCCGGTACCGGAGAAAAACAAAAACAAAACAAAACCAAAACACAGCTGCTATCAGGGAATTCAATCAGCTGTTCATCAGAAGTGGATTTGGGTGCTAATAAATTAGCTTTGCAAATCAGGCAAACTTTGATTAAGCTGTGCAAATCAGTGGAAGCAGTGGTCCCTGGGAAGTTACTTCCTCCAAGATCGGTGAGGCCCCAGATGTTAAAGTGCTCAAACACAGGCGGTAAGAGACATGGCTAATACAAAGCACTGTCCATAAAAGTTGAGCCGAGTGAACCTGAAGATCAACAGAAGGGTCTCTTCAATTCCAAAAGTAGAGCCTCAGTAGCAGAGAAGTTTTCAAGTGTTGGCAAGTTAGTTGCCAACTACTGATATTTCTGAATTTCTCAGGTTTAATTAGTATTCTATTCTACTCTAATGAAAATAATTATTTAATGTTTACATAGGCGACTGCTTCTGTCGCACATTCTTGGTGAAATAAAACACTGTCAAAGATCATTACAAACCGGGCGTGGTGGCACACGCCTGTAATCCCAGCACTCAGGAGACTGAGGCAGAAGGATCACTGCAAGTGCGAGGCCAACCTGGGCTACAAAGTGAGCTCAAGGCCAGCCTGAACTGCATAGTGAGACCCTGTCTCAAAAAAAAAAAAAAAAAAATCATTACAAATCCAGAAATTACGTGTCATGCAATGTATCTTTATTGCCCATAGGTGGCACTGTAGTTCATTGCTCTTGCAAGAGTCAAAAATTCCAGCCCACATGGTACAATTAATGTGGTTTTTTTAAGTAAAACATATGGCTGAGCTACTTCGTTGAAGATAACAGTATGTAATGTGGTAACCATTGTTAATTCCTATCATTTTGTTTTGAGGTCATGTATCGTTTTTGTTGTTTTTGTGTTGTGATTTTGTCTTCATCGTTTTGTTAGTCTTTTTTAATTTTTAAGATAAAAAATGGCTTTGCAACAACTCTTAATAATTCAAGAATCTCATAATTTTCAAAATATGCTATCAAAAGTCTGCTCCTTCCAAGGCTGCTAGTATTAGAGCTTTGCTAATCCTAACCCAAATCTCAAAACTGTGTGTGTGTGTGTGTGTGTGTGTGTGTGTGTGTATGTCTGTGTCCACACATTCTTCTGTGATGAGAGGGTCCCATGTGCTCATTAGAGTTTTAGAATTCTCCGTGGTAGTCCGTCACCAAGAGGCGAAGCACCCGTTCTCTAATTCCAAGTCAGTCATGCCTATTTGAGTATTGACCATCTGCATTCATCTCTTCATAATTTATCAAAACTAATTAACGTGAAAGTGAAAGTAGCTCCTCAGACACCACTTTTTGACCCTTAAAGTATTTTCTGCCCAATATTCAAGAATGGTACAGTAACAGCTTCCTATAACCGTGCCTGTATAGTAGCAGGTTTCACAGCCTGCAAAGCAGATCCAGCAACTGCAAGGTAAAGCAGAGATCTGGGCGGGGAATGAGGAGACACTGGCAAAGACCTCTGATGTTTTGTGAATCACCACAAAGCTACCAGGAGAGAAATTATATCAAAAAGTGGAGCAAGAGTCAGCAGCCTAGAAACAAGTGCCGGAGACCATGGCCCTAAGTGAAATTCCACCCAGTGGGAGTGGGAGATTTCATTCAGAAATATAAGTAATAACTGATGGAGCGGGAAGCCAGGTGGCTGTTCTCACAGTCGTGAGGCCCAGAAAGCCGGAGTGTGACTCTATCCATAACTGAACCTTAGCTGTGGTCTCAAGTTCCTATTTTTATATGACAGCAGGAAAAAAATAATACAAAGTACCCCGTCTCGCTGAAAATTCACTGGGTCTGGGGAAATACTCTGGCTCAGGGGAGCTCTGCACTTGGTCCCAGCATTGGGCGGGGTGTCCTGTCCACCCTGGGCTCTGCTGACCCCTCTGCTGTTGGTGGGAAGCCGAGGCCGCCTCCACATCCCGCCCCCCGACCACGCGTGCTCTCAGACAGTAACCGTGCCCCAGCCCCACCCGCTCTCACCAGTACTGCGTATCCTCTGACTCAGCCGCATCTGCAGCTGGTCCTCCTGGGATACCTACAGCGTCTCAGTTCTCCTCACAGGAGTTCTGTGGGTTCACTCTCTGGTGCATAAAAGGCAACCGATGAACATTCGCTGATTAAATGACACCGGGGGACTCTTCTCTGTCCCCTCCTCCATTCATCACATTTTTCCGTCTTTCTCCCAACCGGAGACCATGGCAGGAGCCCTCAGCTCCCTTCACCGATGTGCGGGCCTGTCAAAGCGAAGAGAACTTATGGTTTCAATTTTATACTTCATTGCTAGGCCTTACTCTATTCATCTGCCAAAACAGGCCTATGGAGCAGGTGTTGTTATTTTACAGATAAGAAAATTGAGGCTTGAAGAGTTGAAGTAATTTCCCCAGGGTGATGAAGTTAACAAGGGATAAAAACAGAATTCAAGCCTGACCCCATCTAACTCGAACACTATCACTCTTAGTTCTTCTATTCTATACTAAACTATTATTTTGGGGTTTGATCTTTCCTTTAGATTTGATGACAGTGGCCACATTGAAGATGTGGCAGTAAATTTCATACTGTGGGAAATCCATGGCAGGAATGATTATAGTTACAACAACAGCATGAAGCAGGTATGGTGTCTTTGAATTTAAACAGAATTTAGCGTGAAATTAGGCATGGCTTTCTATTTTAAAACTATACATAAAGTATCTAAGGAAAATAGAACCAAGAAGATAGAAAACACCTATCACTTCTATATTAAGTTACATGACTACTGAAATTCATTGATGAAAAATGAATGCATTGTCACATAACACAGACATAAAGACATAAAGTCAAAAAAATCAAATAATGTTTGTAGTAGGACGATGCAATTATATGTGAGCATTTTCTTTTTCCTCCAAACTGTACTTAAACCGGGCATGATGGCGCACACCTGTAATCCCAGCACTCGGGAGGCTGAGGCAGGAGGATTGTTGGGAGTTTGAGACCAGTCTGGGCTACAAAGTGAGCTCAAGGCCAGCCTGAACTGCATAGTGAGACCCTGTCTCAAAAAAGACAAAAAAAAAAAACAAAAACAAAACTGTACTTAATATTTATTTATGGGTCTGCCTTATTGCATTTATGCTAAACCCTATAGACACTTTTTAGGCTATGTGACCTCTGCAGCCTTTGACCTTTCTGATCTTGGCTTCGATGTCTCTGCACGCTCCTAGTTCTCTTCCATCCTCCATTACCAGTCCATCTAGGGCCCCTAGGTGAATCCTTCTTACTCTGTCCTTTCGCTTTGTAGGACACAACAGGAAGAAGGCCCCCTGATCACCACACATCACCTCCCTGTCTGTCCTTGACAGCCTCCCGCCGTGCTGGAGCCTCTTTAGACGTTATCAGAGTTGATTCCTGAGGTTCTCCATGAATTTTAGGTTCAAACAAAACCAGTGCTGACTCTTTCCAAAGTGACATTCTTCTCTACCAGAAATGTTAATTATGCAAGAGGCACAGCTCACTTTGATGGCAACCAGGAGAACTGAGTTCCATTTGCCATTTCCCAGAGTACTGCAAGAACTCGTTGCCTTTCAATTATGTAACCGAAGAAATCTATCCCAGAACCTCCTCTGTACTTGTCCAGCGCCCGTTACAGTGCGTAAGTCCTCCGATCTGCTTCCTCTTCACAGCCGTATCCCTAACGACTGCATCCTTCTTCTACCTTGCTGCAGACTCCCATGACCCTCTTCTCCCTCAAGCCTTTCTATTACACTTTATAGCTAAATGTCCCTACGTCCTTCTTCAATAAATTTCCTGAGAGGACGTACCTGTCCCTGCAGTGCTATCAAACCAAGGGTATACATCCGCTCACCCCACATGTTTAACAATGAGATGTGGGGTTTATGTTCTCCCTAATCCGCAGTACCATGTAGATCTGTTGCAGCAAACGTGCTTATTTAATTGAGTCACCAGCAGAGGCCAATGCAGAGACAAGCAAGTTTATTAGCTCGCGGGGGCAGGCACCCAGTACATGACCAAGCACCGACCCTGAAGGGCAGGAGGAGAGAATAGTGACACAGTTCTAGTTCCGAGTCTAGTTCTAGGTCTAGGAGAACTGATATGATTTGGTGTAGCTATAAAAAATACTCCTACAAAGCATGGGCTTAGCTTGTGACAAAGAAACAGGGGTGTTTGACATTTTACATAGGGAACAAGCAGTGTTATGACAAAGCATGGGGTGGTCCCGGGTTAAGTAACTATGACAACATTTACAAGAAACAGATTTAAGGAAACAGAAACTTAAACTCTAAGGCGGTGCCTGAATACAACATGGCGTCGGTTTGGGTTTTTTTCCCACTTCAGATCAGTATCTCTCCACACTTCAATAAAACTTTCATTTAAAGCTCCTACTAGCTAGTTGATATCTCTTCCATTCCTACTTGTTAACCCCCTGTACCTGGAACTTGGTCATTTTTCCTCATGATTTGAAAATAATTATAGATGGCTTCTGAATTCTGTGATCCATCACAGAGTGCTATGCTGGGAAGGTTTCTAAACAGGGACAGCACTTCCCAGACACACATGCATCTCGGTGGGGCCCTACGACTGGTGCACATGACTAGAATGTGAGCTGAAGTTATATGTGTCATTTCCAGATGAGGAACCTAAGAAGGAATTCTCCTGACTCTGTTTCCCATCTCTCCTCCTGTCAGCGTGTTACAGGACAATTCAGGATAGAATAGATGAGAGGCTGGTGAAAATGATACAGTGAAAGAAATTCAAGCAACCTCTAGATAGAAAAATCCTGGGCTCCTAATTCATTTCTTTCTTTTTTTTTTCCGGTACCGGGAATCGAACTCACGACCTCACGCTTGCCAGGCAGGCACTGTGCTGCTGAGCTAAATCCCCAGCCCTCTAATTCATTTCTTAAAGGACAGTCACCCATACAAATCATCTAATCAGGAACATTTGCATTAGACTATGTGTAATCAAGAATTAAATTTTTATTGTGTGAATCCCCTGAGAGTTGCGATTTATTACTGTAACACTGCAGAGACTACCTTGACTAATACAGTTCCTACTAATAAACTGCATTTAAATTCAAACATACCTGCTCAACTCCTAATCCTTTAGCTCTCTCCTTGTTATTTCCACTATTCCTCGGTACCTTACTTTTTCTCTTATAACCTAGGCCTTTGTTATGTTGTCCATTCTCATCTCTCCTTCTCTACCTAGCCTGTTTTCCTCCACCTCTTTTCCTGTCCAGCTTAAACTCTATGGTAAATCTTTTTGCTATAGTCTTGCTAGTGTGTATATCTCACCTTCCCAGGGATTGTTCTAGGTCAGACATTGTTATGGCAACTTTAAGCACCGCAGCAGTGTGCCTGGAGCCAGGCAGAAAGTGTACATGATCTCGTCCTTTCCCACATTGTGTTTTGTTTCTTCAGTTTGCCTCTACTGTTAATTTCCTGTCAGATACCTCTTGTTTCCAGGGACCTACTACTCTCCTTTTTTTCTTCTCTAAATTGTTGCTTTCTACTGTTTGGATTCTGAATCTTGGAGAGGTTAAGTTGTCACTCACCACTCTGCCATTTTTTCCTTCCGCTGGCCTGAGATTTTTTAAAAGAATATTTGTCAGATAAAAGTTCAGTTCACCAAGAATATGATAACAATTACAATTAGGGTACAAATTTTTAATTTATAATTATATAGCTTTAAAACATAAACAGAAAGTTGAGATAACTAGAAATAGAAAAATCCACAGCCATAATAAAAATAATTCAACATACTAACAAAATAAAGGAAAACAGACATAATATTATTATAATAATTGATGAAAGTTTTTTGGTCAGGAACTTAGTATCTGTGCATATTATTTCTAAGTAAAATATAGAAAAGTATAAATAAACAATAACTTCTTTAGCCTAATAAAATATAGATACAAAAAGTTTTTAGCAAACATAAGTGGTGAAAATTTGCAAGGCTTCCCTCTGAAATTAGGAAACAAGGGTAACTGTTTATCACCATTTTGATCCAACATCATTGCTGGGGATCCTTGTAAAACACAAAGAATAAGCAATAAATATAAAAAAGGTATAAGAGTGGAAAATATTCACATTGTTCGACACAATTGTCGTGTGAAACAATTAAAATTAATGAGTTTAAGAAGTTCTCTCAGTCGGGTGTGGTGGTGCACACCTGTAATCCTAGCACTCGGGAGGCTGAGGCAGGAGGATCATTGCGAGTTCAAGACCAGCCTGGGCTACAGAGTGAGCTCAAGTCCACCCTGAACTGCATAGCAAGACCCTATCTCAAAAAGACAAAAAAAAAAAAAAGTTCTCTCAATACAAGGTCAGTGTACAAAAGTCGATTGTTCCTGTGTATTGCAGCAAACATTTATATAATGCAAGTTTTAAGAATATAAAATTTTCAGTGACACCAAAATATATTAATACTTGGAAATACATGGATGTGAAACCTTCTCCATAGCTATATAAATGCATTCTTTTCACAGAGCGGTTGTTTAAATGAAGCCCAGACGTGGAAGACCATGATCGAGCTGCATAAGGACCTCCCATTAGAAGATGTCTGGGGGCCGGAGGTAAGAACCACATTGCCGGGGCTGGGGATTTAGCTCAGTGGCACAGTGCCTGCCTGGCAAGCGCAAGGTCATGAGTTCGATTCCCAGTACCGGGGGAAAAAAAAAAAAAAAAGAACCACATTGCCTCGCACACTGCCCCTGTGGAATTACGAACTTGGCGTTCTGGTATTAACAAAAGCTTGAGGGAAACACCTGGGACTGAAATATCTTTTGGTAAATCAAATCTTATTTTTAAATTGATAATTACCAAAAATGGTTCATCTTCATTTCTGTGTGTGGATTCTTGCTATCAAATTAATTTTCACTGCAAAATACCTAGTTTGAAGATTATTAAAGCTCTGATAAACATGTAAAAGTGTTTAAAGTGAGTCTTATAAAAGACTACCTATCTCTCTTACTTCATTTATTTTATTTATTTTTTCTTAGTGCTGGAACAGACTTTACTTAAAAATCAAGTAGTCAACAAAGATTTCCCTGGGGATGCCCATAAGAGCCACTGTCTAAGAGGGCACATACCTCCCTTCCCTATTTTCTTTAGTATCGTACTCCTCTCACACATTAAATAGCCTGCTTTTTAATCTTATTTGTTATCTGGCTCCCCAACTAAAATATAAGCTCCAAGAGGAAAGGGAATTTTGTTTATTTTTTTTCACTGCTGCAACCCCAGCATCTAACCCATAGGTGCTCAACATATATTTATAGAAAGAATTAAATAACTCTAGATTCCTCACCTATTATGAAGACGAGTATTCTACTGCTCTAAAATTAAGGAATTAAACTAGCAATGGGATCAGTTCAAACTGAACTCACTCTCCTGACTCTTTGTTGAAGGATACCCACAAGTGTGGAGTTGAGGAAGGATATAAATGACACTGTCTCTATCCCTGGATCTTACAAAGGTCGCCTAGATGTTCTTAGATTCTGTGAAAACATGAGAGCACGTTTCAAGGAAGCAGTGAGCCAGCTGGGAAAAGAGCAACCACAGAGTTTGATTCAGTCAGTATGAAACAGTACATGGGCCTCTCTACTGTACACCAGAATCACCTGGAGGGCTTGTTAAAGCAGATTGCTGGCCTTCCCACCACAGTTTCTGATTCAGCCAGTTCGAGGTGGGGTCCAACATCTGCATTTTGTACAAGTTCCCAGGTAATGCTAATACTGCTGGGGATCCACTGAAAGAATAGTTTACAATCTAGAAAGATTTTGGAGGGCACACTCCAGGCCCTAAGTGTTCTGTTCTACCACCTGAGAAACAAAGCCCACCACAAAAAGGGTGAATTTAATCTTGAGTGTGGATAGCAGAGAAAGTAGGCACTCGCAAAGAATTGTTATGTCCTGCTGAGTAAGGTTGCTCTTACAGAAGGGCGTCAAAGTGCATTACGATGACAATCACGAAGATACATGCCTTGCTGCTGAAATATAAAATGAAATAGACGGCCTTCCAGTTCTTGAAGATGCACTGATTGCTCTGCAGTCCCGATTCTGCAAGGATGAATGATGCTTGCAGAAAAGACCTCAGAAGTAGCTCTGAGCACTGTAAATTCTCAAGGAAGAAAAAAACCTGAAAGACTCATCTGTAAAAGTGGCATCTTCCAAGTTAGTGTTGGAGATTAAGCAGCAGTGGCAGGGGGTTGGGGATTTAGCTCAGCGGCACAGTGCCTGCCTGGCAAGCACAAGGTTGTGAGTTCGATTCCCAGTACCAGAAAAAAAAACCAAAAACCAAAAAACAAAAAAAAAAAAAACAAAGGCAGAACACAGGGACTAAGTGACTGGCTATATATATATATATATATAATACAAGATGGGGGATTGAAACCTCTGGATAAGCTGAAAATACTAGACTGAGAAATCCTTAGGTAGAATGGAATATAATTCATAAGATTAGGGGAGATTTGTTTTCTCAGAGACTAGATGACTTGATCAAATGATGGTTTGCAAATGAAAAAGAAGGAAGAAAAGACAATAATCAGAGGAGTCCAATAATACACAGGGAAATATCAGATGTGACACAAAAAGAGGCGTAGTAGTAGGTAGGTACCATCATTCGTGTTAGGAGATAACAAAGCCAGAAACTATAAACAATATTAACATTCCCAAATGCCTGCATACCGAAGAATACATGTAATGATACAAGGTGAGTAACTCCTTTTTGTCAGTGCTTTGTTGTGAGGATGTATGTCCCGTTCCTGTACATATCCAACAAATATCATGGATTTTTTCAGTTAAGCGCATGGTCCCATACATTAACTAACCTGGTGGGACAAGGAGTTTCATAATCCAGTGTTGACTTAAAAGATCCCTTTACCAAAATACATGTTTTCTATTTTAAGTTAATATACATAAAAAATGAGCCTCTTGTTTTTCATTAGTTTATACCCAGCATATTATCTTCTAAATTTCCTAGAGATTAAAGTAGTAGATAGGCAGACAAAGGTGAGAAATAGTAGATGTAGACTTTTTTGTGTGTGTGTTTCAATAATCTTATTGAAAGGTATATTTCTTAGTACCAAACATAATGGTAGTTGGTTAAGTTACCTCTGCCAACTGAAAGTTAATACTGATGTCTTCAAAATATTGAAATATATCAGCCTTTTGGTAAAACTAAAGTTATCTATAAAACATAGTTTACAAAAAGTTAAAAGTAGAATGTACAATGGTTCTTTGGTTTACTTTTCACTGCTTGTTTATCTACACGACGTCAAAATTGGTTACATCCATAACTCAGGCTTTAGGCCTCACTGAGCTGCTGTTTACAATGCTAACTATATATACATCTCTTTACATTCACTGGCTCACATGGAGAATTCCAAACACTAACTCAGCGATTTCATAATTATGGAGGTGCCTACTTACTTTTCTTAAAACGCAGTATAGAAATTTGTGAAAGTATATTCTATTCCTCAAAAAAAACTAGAAGAATGGCAGTAGTAGTAGGTAAGTACCATCTAATTGTTATAGAAACAATTCAGAGTAAAGCTTGGAGTGCTTTATCTAGCCAGAACTTAGGGTAAGGCAACTTTTCAGAGTAATAATTGATTCTGAGTTACTACGTAATACAATAGAACATTTTTTTAATGGAACTAGACTGAGGAAGTAAACTCTATACAGAAATTTTTATCACTGATACAAACATAACCTGTTTTTTTAGAAGAAATATTAAAGACAACTCAATGAATAGGCCAGACTTACTAGGTCTGTGTTTTGGCTTAATAAAAAAGTCTTTAAATTTAAATGCAATTCCCATATAGCAATAACATTCTCATCTCTGAATTATATTATTACTTGCATTATGGGTGTTGAAAAACCATTACATTATCTAGAAGTTAACCCTTATTATGCCTTAAAAAAGTGTATGTATGAAATGTTGGTTTTTATGTAAATCTTGTAATTTAAAATTTAACATTTAAATTAAGTAGATTACCATTTTCAGTATCACCTAAATATAATATATTGATCCAATATAGAAAGTTAGGTTAATGTTTAAAATGAAGATTCACAGTTCACCTTTTCAGGCTTGTATTAAGTATTTCACATTTATGCCTTTAGCTTTACAGATGCATTCAAAGCTAAACAATCCTACTTATAGCACTATATTACATAGTTTTACCAAGTTGTAGAACATCATACTAATCTAGTTGTGATATCTTGAGGCTTCATAATCTAAATACATTATAACATTATGGAATCCATAGTTCCGGGTTGTGGAAAAGGCTTTGAAGAAATGTTTTTTGTTGATGAAATAATACTATTTATGTAAAGAACCAAAAACCCTAACTTACTAAAAGCTAGTCTAAATACGACTAGCTATTAAAAGTATCAAATTTTTCATACCTAAGTTTCATAATCGTATGTAGATGTGTTAAATGTTGACATTTTGTTTTGAGTAGGAATAGACAAATCATTACTGTAAGTTAATAAATTTAGATGGCAAGAACATATAGAATATTTTTATGAATATAATTACTTTGTACTATTCTGATTGCAGTAGCAGTATATTGATACATATTGCCAGTTTTCAGACACTCAACAGATCTAAATGTAGACTTTTAAAATAATTGCATTTCATCAAGACGCATAGCAATATTTCATTAAATTGAATAAAACCAAGAGTTTAGGGATGGTTCTTATGATTAACATATATAAGCATAACTATGGAATGATTAACTTATATAAAATAAATGACCTGCTAGTAAAGGAAAAAGGGAAATTTTCCGTGTGAAGGCAGTATTCACCTTTAAAAAAAAAACAACACAAGCCAGAGGGTAAATACTGAAGTATATATAAATAAGGATTAAAAAATGAACTAGGGAAGAGATTGTTGTATAATCAGAGATTACACAGTCAAATAGAGGAATTACATCATGCATTCCTGATTACCTCCCAAACCTAATACACAGAGTTAAGATAGAACATTGTACACACAACAGCATTGCATTTGCAAACATTAAAATGTGAGGAGAATAAGGAAATAGTACCACCAAGTAAATCCAGTGTCTGTTACTTATTCAAAGGCTATAGAAAGACTTTGGCTACCTGAACAGCATGATCCAGGACAGATGAAAGTGCAAGCTTCTATAGACAAAGATGTACCAGGAGCTTAGCTGTAGATGAGGGGTGAGGATCACATCATTGTTGTGGTGCAACCCTATTATATTGGACTGGAATCATTTTGCACATAGGCCAGTCTGGGCAGTTGCCCTGCAATTGCCTTCTCTATGGCAAAACTACAGATTGACACTCTTTTTTGACTGTCAGCCAACCCTTAGAATAACTAACCCTCATTTGTACACATTGAGGCTGCTAGTCCTAGGTTCCTACTCCCGAACCTAGTCTTTTCACAAACTAAGGACCTGCTGTCCTGTGTGCAGTGTCCCTTCAGAAATTCTTCTCTGAATGATTACATCTGGTATTAGGTATGCCAAGCGCCATCAGTTCACAGCGCCAGACCTCCTCAGCTCGGCACAGGTTATTCACATCATGTTCTCGGGGCTTCCGCAGCTTACACCTCCCTGTGCATAAGCCAAGTCCTTAAGTCACCCAGCCTGCTTCCTTGGAGTTTCCTTCCATGAATGGATCGCCACCACATAGGGTGGGGGTGGCATAAAACGTTTGTATCCTTTACAATGAGTAACTGAAGCCAGAAGATGTATAACAAGTCTGTTTCACTCACAAATTTCCTTAGCCCAATATGTACAACCCAATGTTGCTCCTCTTGTGAGCTCCTCCTTCATTGTACACCCTTTCGTGCTTTCCCCAGAGCTCTGCCCCTGATTATTACTAACTTCATTTGGTCTTTCATGTCACACTATCATTAGCATGAGGAAGGGAACCACAGCCAAGGCAAGCAGCCAGTGGTACACACATAGCTGAGCATTGGCTGGCTCGTCTTTACCATTTAATCAAGCTGTGCTCTTGGCTGAATTCATACTTGTAGCTATCAGAATATAAATGATAAGCAGCCTCTTCCTCCTCCTCTTGATGGTCTGTACATTTACTTTTTTGGGGGGCAGTACTGGGAATCAACTCAGGACCTTGTTCTTGCCAGGCAGGTGCTGTGCTGCTGAGCTATCTCCTCGGCCCTTGTACATTTACTCTTAACTCACTGACTTAACTTGCATTTCTGCCATAGATGCATTTTAGTTTATAATTTTATTATTCCACACAATTCTTCTTCAACTTGGCTAGAGCACTGCTACAGTGATGAGTTCCTTTTAAACATTCCTCCCATTGTTGCCTCTCTTCACTAATAATTGAAATTCTTCGGAAAGAAATTTGGTAGAACTCAGATTTGAGCTGCCCCACCCTGACCCCAGCTATATCCTGGAGTAGAGAGAGAAAGAATGTGTGCCTGCCTGCTTCTGTAATGAAAGGTGTAGACTGGAATTACCTTCTCATTCTGATGTCATCAAAAAGGAATCAGAGTTCTCTTGACAATGGTAATGCACTCTGGGCAGACCAAAAAAGCAGCATATATATCCATAAAATTCTCATTTCATTCAAGTTGTGTATGGAATTAGCTGCAGCCTTTCATGAGAGTTTCATCCCCTTGAAGAAATGAAGAATAATTGGCTGTTGGAATGGACATAATAGTAAGTAGGGCAAGTGTCCATTCCTCACATTTTGTGACATCCAGTGCAGTGAGAGCAGGCATAACGAGAATTGTACTTCACGCTTCAATAAAAGTTTCCAAAAATTTCAGAGAAAACCTTCTGGATGGTTTGGTCAGTAGAAAGGTCTCCAGAGAAACTAGGGCATGATTGCCTAGCATACCAAATAGCACCCTCGGCAAGTTTTTGAGTGGAGAGATAGAACTAACCCAAAAGATCTATTACCAGAGCTTATTCAGTGTGGGTCCAGAGCAAGAGGTAGCAGGTACAGAGAGTACAGGAAACTCTTGAATATTGAAAAAGCAAACTAGTTTGACACTGAAAATTAAAACTCAACAGTAAGTCAACAAATATACCTCCCACTGTATGCCAGACTGGAGATACAGCAGTAAATAATAAGCTTCTTTAAAAAAAACAACAACAACAACAAACCAAGTATGGTGGCACATGCCTGTAATCCCAGCACTTGGGAGGCTGATGCAGGTGGATCACCACAAGTTCGAAGCCAGCCTGGGCTACATAGCAAGACCCTGTTTCAAAAAACAAAACAAGAATAATGATGATAAGCTTCTTTCTAGAGCTTATCATTTTTGCCATTTCACTGTGATTAAAATTTTTGTGCGTGGAGTTGTCATGAAGAGCTCCTTTGGAGACTGTGCAAAAGCTGACAGACACCAAGGTACTACTGACTGGGAAGTTCCTCATACAAGAGAAATACTTCAACATATGTAGGGGAAGAGAAAAACATGCTCTGAGTGAATTTCGTGCTACTGTCACAGAATACCTAAGACTGGGTAAATTATAATGCATTGAAATTTACTGGCCTATGACTGCAGGGTGGGGTCCCACAACCAGGTGATATCCCCACGTGGAGAGGGCTTGTTTGCTGTATCATCTGTGATAGAAGGGTGCGAGGAGGGAAGGCAAGGGCAAGGGCAAGCAAGAGAGTGAGCAAGAGAAGCCGCCTGCTCTTCGGGAAGGAATCCACTCCCAGAATAACAGGGCTCCTTCCATGGCAATGGCATACACCCATTCACTGGATTAATAGGTGTAATAGTTGATACACTGTGTCATTTTGAGAAGTTTAGAAGTTTAACTAAACAACTCAGCAGGGAGCCAAGGTCCTCATTTTGAGAACATATCATCCTGTGCAAGAGGAGAGCAGAGAGATGGTGTGAGTGCTACACCAGCCCTAGCGGGTAGGAGCCTGCTTACAATATAAGGGAGGAAATATAGCCTCGCTTCTCCCACACACACACTTTTGCTCTCGCTGCTTTTGCTGCTTTTGCTGTCTTCTGCTGCCTTGAACTGTTACCCCTCTGCCATGTGCCACCCTGCCTTGGAGCCAGCTGATTATGGACTGAAACCTCCATAAACTGTGAGCTAAATAAACCTTTCCTTCCTTAATTTTGGGTGTCCTGTATTTTGTCTCAGCAACAAGAGAAAAGCAACCGAAACTACAGGTGCCCCAGTGACCCAAAGGCTCCCACAAGGCTCTGCTTTCCAACACCTTTCTACCAGGAATCAGGTTTCCAACACCCTGACATGCGGGTTAGTGACACCCTCCAGCTGTAGCAACCGTGAAGGATGCTGCATAGGCCAAAGCTCAGACGTGGCCCAAGTAATTGCCTCACAAGGTGTAGAATGTGAAAGCATAGAAAGAATCCAGGAGCAATGCTGTGTATATTTGTAGCCTGAGTCCCCTGCAAATTTTAACAATCTTTTTATCTTGCTCTTTTAGTTTTCATAAAGTGATTTTTTAAAACATAGGCCTGTTTCATCTGTGACTTTAAAAGGAGGGCAAGGGATATGTAAAAGTACTCTGTGGTTTGTATTTTGAGACTCACCCACAGGAACACACACTCACAGTAATGGGGATAAATAAAAGTTCTCAGGGAAGGTGAAAACTCAATGATATAATACTTCAACTCTGTTGAAACAGTTTCTGTCCTCAATTAGCATTTTTGGAGGATTATTATGTTTTGTTGGTTTAGAATATGATAACAGCCAGGCATGGTGGTGCATTCCTATAATCCCAGCACTTGGGAGGCTGAGGCAGGAGAATGGCTGTGAATTTACATAGTAAATTCAAGGCCAGCCTGCCCTACAAAGCAAGAGCCTGTCTCAAAGAAACAAACAAATTCACAATCAAAAGAGTTTGAGGCCCGTATGGGCAATTTAGCAAGACCCTGTCTCCGAAAAAATAAAAAAGTAAAAAATGCTAACATACCCTTAACATCCCAATTTAATTGTTTAAAATACAAAATAGTCAAATATGATGACAAATGCCTATAATCCAGTACTTGGGAAGCTGAGGGCAGGAGGATCATGAGTCTGAAGCTAGTCTGGGCTATATAGTGAGTTCAAGGCCAGCAAAACCCTGTCTCAAACCAAACAAACACAAGCCGGATATGTAGGTCAGTGATACAACAATTATTACACATATAAAAAGTCCTGGATTCAATCATGAGCACAAAAACCAGTGTTTTCTTTCACTAGGTTTCACTTTTTATAAAGTTTTAACCCAATATAAGCTCTAAAGATGCAATAAGCATTGCAATGGTAGAATAGAAAGGAATAGCCATTGTATCTCTAAATAATATTCCAAGATAAATATATGGCAATAGAATTTTATTTGTTAGTCAGAAAATGATCTTTGTTCTTGTCTTTGTTTCTTTTTCAGAACTATAGGCCCTGTTTTTCTTATGCTATTGGAAAACCAGGAGACTTAGATCAACCATATGAGATTATCAACATCTCTAATAAGAACCATATATTTTGGCCCTTGCACCACTCTGGAATGTATGTGTTTCGTGTGAAGATCCTGGATCCAAACTATAGGTGAATATAAATGTTTTATTATGATGGTTTTAGCATTAGTTCCTCAAAATTAAGTTTTGCTTTCTGGATTTAATTTGAGACTACCTAACCATCCAATTGTTGTCGTTAGTATTGATGTATTTGTTTCTTCATTTTGTAGCAATCACATAAAACATTCTATGGGGTAAGAGATTTAATGTTAAACATTAATCATGTGGTTTGAAATTACATTTTAAAAACTTTACTGTGTTTCATTTACTATGTTCCACAGATCCAATATAAGGTAAGCATAATTTAAGTCTTCAAAATGCTTATAATTAAGTTGAGGTTAAATGAGAGCAAAAACATGAGATATTTTTCAAGTATAATCATTTGTGTTATTAACAGGCCCAGTAGTAATTTGGAGATAGGAAAGATTAATGCTATTTTGAGCAATAGAAGAAAACTTTCTGGAGAACAAGAAGCATTGGTACTGATTGGGTAACCCCTAGCCAAAATGCTTGGGATAAAAATTGTTTCAGATTTCCAACTTTTTTTCAGATTTTGGAATATTTGCTTGTACATAATGACATATCTAGGAATAGGACTCAAATTTAACCACAAAAAATCATTTATGTTTCACATATACCTATACATAGTATAAAGGCAATTTTATATCATGCTTTATTGATCCTGTGTTGCTTTGCTGTTTTGTTCTGTTTTGGTGTGTGTGTTTGTTCTCGGGTCTGTTATAAAGGACATTACATCAGACACAGGTGAAGAGCTCACAGGGCAAGGCATATGGAAAGGGGTACAAAGCTTCAACTCCCTCTCTGGGTGCATTAACCTCCAGGAACCTCCATGTGCTCAGATGCTCTCTAAACCCAGTGAGTTTGCATTTTATGGAGGCTTCATTACATAGGCATGATCCATTAAATCCTTGGCCATTGGTCAATAATTTAGCCAATAGTCCCTCTCCCCTCCCTGGCTAAATTTGCTCCTTCTGTTGACCAGTTGCCATATTGAAACTGCCTCAGGACTACCCGCCGTCAAGCAATCATTAGCTTACCAAAGACACTTGTCACTTATTTTGAAGATTCCAGGGATTTCATGAGTTGTATGTCAAATAAAGGAGGAAAAAAATAAGTTGCCACATATTTCACAGTATCACAGCTCACTCGCTGGTCTTCAAACAGGGCTCCCTTACATTAAGAGGACAGACAGCTGGACAAAGTGGCACACACTTATAATCTCAGCTACAATACCTAGAAAACCGAGGCAAGAGGATGGCAAGTTCAAGGCCAGCCTGGGCAACTTCATGAGCCCCTGTCTAAAAAGTTTTGACTCAGAATTTGAGGGAAAAATTAAATATCTAAGTGAAAATATCCTACACATAGTTAAAAATTCTGATTTGAGCCTGGAGTTGAAGGAAAGAACTGAGGGTAAAAAGAGGAAAATACACATGTGGGTATTTTCTACAGTGATTTCAAGAGCATGTGTACGTTAACTGTTCAAAAGAGAGAAGAGGTCAGGGAGATATCATAGTTCAGAAACTGAGGGTGATGAGAAAAGGGGCAGAGCAGTAAGTGTTTCAGATAAAGAAAAGAGGAGAGAAAATCAAAAGTTAATAGGAAAACACAGTAAAACAGGATATTTAAATGCAACTCACTCTACCTTACTGTTTGAGCAGAGGCCTCAAAGGCAATTTCTTCCATACTCTAAAATTGTAGTTATTATTATTTTTACTTTTATTAATTTTTAAACTTTTAGTTTACTCTGTATTATTATTAAGGATTTCAGCAGAAACCATAAATGCCAAGAGGGTATGAGATGATGTATTTCAAACACTGAGAGAAAATAACTACCAACCTAGATTACTATGTCTAGCAAAGCTAGCTTTCAAATTAAAGGAAAAATAAAGACCTGTTAAGATAAGCATAAAGTAAAGTAATTTACAACTACTAAGCCAGCATCACAGGACATGGTTAAAGGAATCCTACACACTGAGGAAGGATACATAAGTTATTGAGAATTAGCAAAGACTCAAACACTAGTAAAACACCAAAATGATAGTAATTAACACACACCTTAATTAATAATAACCCTGAATGTAAATGGTCTTAATCCTATAATTAAAAGACACAATGGGCAAAATGGATTAAAAAGAACTCTTTGGTGTATGTAAAGGCATACACAGACCAAAATAAAAAGATAGAAAATGATATTTCAAGCAAATGGAATCCAAAAACAAGCAAGAGTAGCAATATTCATAACCAACAAAGAAGGCTTTAAGACAAAATTCAGACAAAGGAAGTCATTATATATTAGTAAAGGGAAAAATTCATTATGAAGATATAATAATTGTAAATATATATGCACCAAACATCAGTGCACCCAATTTCATGAAACAACTATTCAACACAGAGACCAAAGATCCTAACTCAATGATAGTGTGTGAGTTCATAATCCAGTCTCACCAATAGATAGCTCATCTAGATGTCAGTGTTAAACTACCCTATAGACCAAATGGACATTCACAGACTAGTCCATTCAACAGCTACAGAAAAAGTCCTCCTTTTCTACAGTTCATGAAACTTTCTCCAAAATAGATGATATTTGGGGCCATAAAGTAGGCCTTAAAAAAACAAAAAAAGTTAAAATAATTTCCCACATTTTATCAGATCATAATAGAATGACACCAGAAATCAACTAAAGAGAAACTACTGAAACCATTTAAACACTGAAAAATTAAAGAATACATTTTTAAATACTCAGTGGGTCATTTAAAAAACCAGAAGGTAAACTTTAAAATTCCTAGAATCAGATGAAAATGGAAACACAACTATTATTATTTCGATTTAAAATGTGCCCCCAAAGTCTCATGTGTCAGAGGTGGGGCTTGGTTGGAAGAGGTAGGTCACATGGGGAATGGCCAGGAAAGTTGCATTCTTGATACTGGCTCCTCCTCACTCTCTGCTTCCTGGCTGCCATGGGTTGTACAACTTTCCTTCGTCATGCCATTCCATCATGCTATTTCTGCCTTGTAGCCAGGCAACCATGCATGGACAGGAACCATAGACCAAATAAACTTTTCCTCCTTCAAGTTGTGAGTGTTGGGGTGTTTTGTTCCAGCCATGGAAAAGTGATTAATACATACCAAATACCAGAATCTGTGTGATACAGTGAATGAAGTTCTAAAAAGGAAATTTATAGCTATGAATGCCTACATTAGGAAAAAAAAGCTGTCTCAAATAACCAACCTAATAATGCATCTCAAGATCTTAAAAAAATTAAGAACAAGCCAAACTCAAAACCAGTAGAAGAAAAAAATAATAATAATAATTAGAGCTGAAATTAATGACATAAGGACAAAATTAACAATATAAAGGATCAATGAATCCAAGAATTGGTTCTTTGAAAAGATAGACAATATAGGTAAATGTTTAGCCAACTAACCAAGAAAAAGATAGAAAAAAAACCAAATTAGTGAAATTAGAAGTGAAAAAGGATATGGGGCTGGGGATTTAGTTCAGCGGCACAGTGCCTGCCTGGCAAGCACAAGGTCGTGAGTTCGATTCCTGGGACCGGAAAAAAAAAACAAAAAGAAAAAAGAAGTGAAAAAGGATATATTGCAGCAGATACTACTGAACTCAAGAGGATCATTATAAATTACTTTGAAAACTAATATTCTAATAAGTTGGAAAATGTAAAGGAAATGGATGAATTTCTAGACAGATATGGCCTCCAAAACTGAACCAAGAGGATTTAAAAAAAAAAAAAAAAAAAACCTAAGCTGATCAATAACAAGCAATGAGATTGAAGCAATAATAATCTCCCAACAAAGCCCTGGGTTGAGTTCACTTCTGAATTTTACCAGAAATTTAAAGAACTAACAGCTATTTTCCTCAGATTATTCCATGAGATACAAAGGAAGAAATACTTCCAAATGTACTCTGAGGCTAATATCACCCGATAGCAAAACCAGACAAGGACACAACAACAAATGAAAGCTGTAGATCAATATCTTTATGAACAAGATACAAAAGGTCCTCAATAAAATTGCAACTGAATTCAGTAACATGTTAGAGAGACCATACAACATGATCAAGTTGGTTTTACTCCAGAGAAGCAAGGATGGTTCAACATGCCCAAATCAATACATTTAATACGACACATAAATGTAATCAAGAATAAAAATCACAGGATCATCTCAACAGATGTAGAAAATGCCTTTGACAAAACCCAACATCCCTTTATGATGGACACCCTGACAAAACCAGGTATAGAAAGATGTTGCCTCAATGCAAGAAAGGCTGTGTATGACAAACTCATAGTCAATATCATATTCAATGAGGAAAGAATTTCCTCTAAAATCAAGAACATTCCTGTTAAATATGGTCCTTGAAATTCTAGCCAAAGCAATTAAACAAGAGAATGAAATAAATGTGATACCTATAGAAAAGGAAGAAATCAAGTTAGTGCTGTTTGCAGATTATATGATTTCTATACAGGCACTTAAAGGACCCTAAAGACACCATGAAAAGACTTAAAACTAATAAAGAAATTCAGCTAGTAGGATACAAAATCAACATATAAAAATTAATAGCTTTTCTATACATCAATAACCAATCCGCTGAAAAAGAAATCAGAAAAGCAATTCCCTTTGCAATAGCTTCAGAAAAATTAAATAAAATACCTAGTAATAAACTTAGTCAAAGAGATGAAAGACCTCTACAGAGAAAAGTGTAAGACACTGAAAAAAGAAATTGAATAAAACTCTAGAAAATAGAGAGAACTCCCATATTCATGTGTCAGCAGAATCAGTATTGTAAAAATGGCCATGTTATCAAAAGTGATCTACTGACTCAATGCAGTCCCCATCAAAATACCAATAACCTTCATAGAACTAGAAAAAAACAATCCTAAATTCATATAGAAGCACAAAAGACCCAAATAGCCAAAGCAATTCTAAGCAAAATGAGCAATGCTGAAGGTGTCATGATACACAATTTCAAAATATACTATGAGAATATAGTCACAAA